CTCCAGATAAACCTGGACTACCCGTTCTTCCCGGTTCTCCCTAGAAGAAGCAGCACACATTGAAAAATACACATATTAGTGCTGAAACAGCATTCAGTGTTTGCAACAGTAGATGTCACCTCCCCTTATCCATCACACTTATGAAGAATTTCATTCTTTTTTCATTTACAATCAAAGTAATTTAGGATTAAATTTAGCATTAAATTCCAGTGTCAGAAATATTGACTTTTCTAGCAATTGCTTAACAACCTCTAATTATATATGAGAATGAGAAGTCTTCTATGCATTTTTCTGAAGGTTTTTACAAAGGCTTTTCCAAATTGGCTTCATAACTTATTTATAACACTTAACCATCTTCAAAAAAATCTCTTTTAAGTCTTCAGTAAATTGCTACCAGATTAATAAGTGTTATTTTTATAATTTTATACTGATAAATTCAGGATTACTGTCCTGGTATGAATAAGAAAAGGAATGTGAAAAAAATGGGAATCCTATTAGAATACTATCAGAGATGGAATTAACTTTATAGCTAATATTAATACAGCTCTCTTTTCTGAAATATCTGGGCATTTTGTAGTCTTTTTTTCTTCCCAATATCTCTGTTGAAATACGGAAATAATATTTCAGTGTGATAGTTTGTTCTGTTTGTAAAAAGCCTTTTTCACTGTATTTACTTAGCATTATTAAGAGTTCTTTCCCTTCCTCACATTTCCAGCAATGTAAATTAGCCTATTCTGAAGAAACAGGATGAATCAGAGCCCTGGAGAAAATGGTCCCACTAAACAGGATGCATCTAAGACTGTGCACATGCAGGCAGTTCAAGTTCTCCTCAGGTATTTAAACCAGCGTAATAGGAAATACAACAAAATAGCTTAATGGCCAAAGGCATCTTTTAGAATCAGGTACTCACTAGAGTTAAGACAAGTTTATCCTTAGCAGTATAAATACCTTCTCACCAGGAGACCCTGGAAAGCCAATTCCAGGAAAACCTGCTGCTCCTTTGTCTCCTTTTTCACCCTTTTGCCCAGGGAACCCTGGTGTCCCTGGTGAACCTGGAATTCCTGGCAGACCTTTTTCTCCAGGTGTTCCTAGTAAGAAAAAAGAAAAATGGGTATATCAGAGCTAGTGGTACGTTAGCAGTGTTGAAAATGATTTTTTTAGTGCTGTCTCTGCTACTCAGAGCTAGAAAAAACAATATAACTCACTACTGTAGGAAGTCATTTAACTTTTGAGATTCACCCCCTAAATGGGACTCTTTATAGGAAGATGAGCTCTCCAGATCAGAGAAGGTGGTAATCTTGGATTCTTAGAAAATAGAGGTGTTGCTAAAAATATGCTTTGAATAAAAGTATGTGCTGATTTGAGAAACTTCTAAGAGGACTACAGTGACAATGGTATTTTGCTGCTGCAGATCATAGGTCCTCCTTTACTGCCGGTCTTTGATTTCCTAAATATGCTAGGCACAAGGCCATATGAATGAAGACAAAGTCTCCACATTGAAACGGAGCTTCTTCTCATTCTATTCTTTATTTATGCCCTCCCTAACAGCACCCTTCCAAGAGCACTAGAGTTTGTAGCTAACATGTAATGTACAGCAACTTGCCAAACTCTTCAGAAGGGAGAAAATACACAGGAGGCTTAATGCAGTTCCCACACTGGCACAAAAAGATAGACAGACAGACAGCCAACCAGGTAGATATCACCTGAAAAACTACTTGCTTGCACCAAATACACAAATGCTATATATGGGCCTTCTTCTAGGTGCCCAAAGTACCATTTTACACCCAACTACAGTAGCATTCACATATAGGAATTCAGGAAAACATTTTATGTCATTTATTTGGATACTGTAGTAGGATTGAAACAGCAATGTCCCCAAAGCCCTAATGTGAGATACTGCAAATTGCACAACATTGTCAGAGAGCTACACCAACAAATACCCCATAAAGTCTCTCACAATGCTCCGTATTAACTTGAGGAAAGAAAGCTAAAATAAAAAATTCCCAGATCTCAGTACCTGGCAAACCCATTTCACCAACTGATCCTTTTTGTCCTGGGATTCCTGGATCTCCTGGGTACCCCGGGGGCCCTTGATCACCTTTTGGTCCTATGGACAGTGGGGATATTGAAAGTCCCATTAGTTAATGCAGTTGAAAATACCTCACAAACATTCCTTCTGTTGACAGCTTCAGGCATACCTGGATGTCCTGGAGTACCAGGTTCACCGTCCTTCCCTGGAATTCCTGGTTCTCCATACTCCCCACGTAACCCTTTTTCTCCTGTTGCTCCATGGTCCCCTAGACACCGAGAACACAAAAGTGGTGAGATGAATTTTATCAAATTTTATTGTGATGCAGTATAATAGGAGACTCCTTCTAGTTAATTTTTTATCCCTGTTGCTTCTCTTTACTGAACAAGGAAATGGATAATTCAAGCTGCATACACTGTACAGTAGTATTACAAAGAACTGAGTAGAATACCAGCTCTTCAGTCACTCAGACTAGTGCTGAAGTAAGACTGCAGACTATTACAGTTTTGCAGTTGTCTGTGCAAATTACAATGCAACTTATATCTTTAAAAGAAATTCAATGCATTGAAAATGATGTGCGTGTTTGAGTTAGATTAATGAGCTGCTTTTGAAGTACCAGACAATATCAGGTGTTAACAGAAATGACTGATTTCCTTGTTTTGCTGTCTAAGCAGCTACCAGGGAATATGTGTGTGAACAACCAGTTCAGAGGCAGAAATTAGGTGAATACCCAGTTCTATCTAATATTAAAGCCTCTTCATCATTCCAGAAGGCTCCATCTGTGGCATGCGTCTTGTCCAGCTGTAATACCCAAGCTTTTTAGTCATAACCCTTTCTGTTAGTGTTGCATCTAAATGCTGGGCAACACGTTACTGAAGAGAGTCAGCTGAAAGTTTATAAGCAAGAGGATTTTTTCAAAAAAATCTCGAAATTTTGCATTAAACATCACTGGCAATTTTCCACAAAAAATACTGCGCCTTTTCCACGAGACTTATATTTTAGAAGCTTTTTAAAACATTACTGTGATATTCACGCTTAGAGAGATGAAAGCAGTTAGTAGAACAGGAAAGTTCTGGAATATAACTAGATTAATTTTCCTCTATAGGTGCTAAGTATCCTTGGGGTAAAGAGGATGAGATGGGGAGAACATCACCAGAATTTTGCAGGTCAGGGTCTGTTTGGAAACTAGCCTTCAAGGCTGCATAAGCCAGGCTAACCTGCAGGTGTGTGTGTGGTCAGGAGAGGACAGGGAGGTCACACACGTTTGCAAGCACACGCTATTACTGTGGGAGAGATAAAGGAGCTAGATATCAAATAAATTAACCAGTTGAATTTGTCAGCACAGGTTTCTTTTTGTATGTGTGACTAGTGTGACTAATTATGATTTTGGTTTGAAATAAAACTAATTATCAACCGGTCAGTCCACAGGCAACTAGTAGATAAGAAAATGATGAAAAACACCTTATATCTTAAGGCTTTTCACACCATCAAGATCATAAATAAACGACAAAAATGCAAACTAGATTAACTTCTTACAGGCAGGGAGCCTCACCAACTACAAAAGTGCTCTCAGAAACTGCATCTCAGCTTAGGGATGGATGCTCTTCTCGGTTTCTTTCCTCCCCACTCGCTCCTGCCCTCTCTCACAGTCCGTGCTCCTAGGTTGTCTGAACTGGGAGACACTTCCTACCCACGTGCCTAGGTTTCCTTGAGACCAAACCAGGACACACAGGCCCATGCTTCATTCTGACAAGTAGTCCAGGACATGGATAGAATTGATATCTAGACCAGGAAGCTCTCCTGTTCCCACAGTTTAAATTCAGTGAAATGCAGGTATTCGTGATTCTCCATCAAACTAGAAAGGAATCTCAAGTGCTCTGTCCTACGCCCTACAGAGAATAAACTGATGAAATCTATGGATGACACTAAACTGGGAAGTGTTGAAAGGAGAACAGGATTAGACCGCGGAAAGACCTTGATGAATTGGCGAGAAGGCCGGAAATTAACAGCATGGAATTCAAATAGTGGAACGCACTGCATATTTGGGAAGGCGAACTCAAAAAGCATGAATATAAAATGAGCAGCAATTGCATAAGCAGCAGTCCACAAGAAAAGGACCAGCGATTATAGCTAGTCCCAAACTCAGCAGGACACTCTTTCAAAAAAGGCAAATCTCATTTTAGCAGAGCCTGAGTTGGGAGTACTTCAGTTGTTTCAGTGGAGTGCACACTCTAACAAGGATGCAGTCAAACTGAGGAGAATTCAGAAAAGGTAACAAGAAGGATAATGATTTCAGATAAGATGATACATGATGAACGGCTGATGGATTTGGATTAGGGAAATGGAAGACTACATGATCCCACTGGGTTCCTTTCAGCCCTGCACCTTTATTTTTAGGAAGAATCAGTTACTGTTTACTCAAAAACTCAGTCGCTGTCGTGTGAAAATATAAAACTGTCAAAATGTAAAATGCCACTTTTTAGTGAAACAGCAAATTGTAATAACAAAGGACAAATAATAAAAATACATTAAAATACCAGTTTTTTTCTTTCAAAAGAAAAACACGACAGACAAAGCTCTTAACTAAATTTTCATGCAACAGTGTAAATAAGTATCTCAGAAGAATGCGTTGTCTGAAAAAAATTAATACCCCCACCACCATTAGGTTTCTACACAGAAACTGACTGCCATTCTCCTGTGTATTTCAAGATGTTTCAAATCTTATAAAAGTTAATCTTTAGGTATGAGTGTCACACATGTGTCTCTCTTCTGAAATTTCTTCGGGTCCGAAAGAAGTATTTGTGTGCCAAAAAAGTTGTCCACTTGTCCTTATGATATCTGTCGGTCTTCAGAGCAACAACAATATTTCCACCATATACAAAAGACAGCTTTTCTCTTCCAGTAAGTTCTAATTGCTACTTTTAAAGTTTCTTCTCTTTTGAGAGAGAAGATGCAAGAGGTAAAAATGGATTTCAAAATAGGAAGCTGAACTTCTTCATTCAGACTAAAACCCTTTGTGTTTGCGATTGATCTTTGTTTTTATGGAGCTGAAGGAGCCTGGGAAAATATTTGGATTTGTTACGTGAAGTTCTTTAATCTTGCTTTTTCAAAGCTGTTTTCTAAAACCAAGGTATAACTGAAGTCAAAGCATTGCTTCTCATTAGTATATGACCACTAATTACACTTATCCATAGTTACTAAAGTTACTAAACTAACTAAAGTTACCTTTTTCTCCTTGATCTCCCTTTTGGCCTTTGAGACTAACCATGTCCATGCCGTCCATGCTTCCAGGTTTTCCAGGGAGACCTACTTCACCTTTATCCCCCTTGACACCAGGATCACCTTGTGGTCCAATTACTCCTTTGAAACCTTGGTTACCTAAAAAGGAATAGCGCAGAATACTATAGTGGCATATAAAACTTTGCAAAAACATTTAGTAGACACTAACAAATGAAATTAGATATTTATTCAAATTCTGAGCATGGGGTCTGGAGCATCTCATTTCTCTCATATAAAGTTCTTTTCTTTTTTTTAATATCAGGACTTCACAACAGAAGTCCTGGTAGAGACTCTTGGGAGAGACCAAAAAAAGTGAAATCTTTTTTCCACTTCACATGCATTAGCTGTAGACCCTCCCAAAACAACAGGGATAGGAAGCAGCTTCCCTCCATCAGACATATCAAGCTGAATTTTCACATGGGAGAACTTCATTATGGAAAAATAATGCTACAGAAGATGATGATCTTTCTACAGCCTTTTAAACTTGTTATCTTTAACTGTCCACAAGAGTTTAAATAAAGGGCACTATATGAAAGGTTTAATTAAGTCCTTCCTGCTGGCTTTTTATAACTTCAAATACTCTATTTCTGGGAGTAATATCTAAAGCATCCTTTGGCGTAGCAAACCCTTGTTTTGATGAAAAATGGAGCAAAAAAACCTGGGTCAGTGTCCAAACTCCTGCTCCTAGGATATGGCCTTCTAACTTACATTGTTTATAACTTAAAGAGGACATACTCAACATAAAATATTTCTTAAGTCAAACATATTCCCTGTATTTGGTTATTTCCAGACTTGTCTTCAGTAGCAAAAAGGTGTACTTTAAAATGTTGATATTCATATGCGAGATGCACCAAGTGCATTGGAGAGGTCCAAGCACTATGCCGGTCTCAGGTTTTATTCCTACCATTACAATGGCCAGCTGATTAACCCCCCACAATTTACTTCACTGCTTCCTACTCCAGTTTCCCATCCGTTACACAGATTCCTTTATGAAGCTATTATGACATCTATTAACAAAATTCACTGCACTGATATTTAACATAGCAATAATTAGTAATTAAGGGTATTACTGCTTACCATTTTAACATACTAGCTAGCCAATAAAACCTAATGAAGGCACCTCCTACGGTTTACTTTGCTAACTCATGCTAACTTTCCTAGTTTGAATGCACCCTTCACTCTAACTTTTTTTGTTCACCCAAGAGTCTGGTTCCACGTGCCTTTCATTGAGGTGGCACTAATAGATTATTGAGCTAGCACTTCCCATCTAGATTAGACTCATGACACCTTAGTTGCTTAGAGGTTTGGTGTCTTGTCTCTCCCTACAGCCAGTGGGAAGGGAGAGTAAGAGAAACCCCCAGGGAATTACTTGTCATGCCTGTTAGACAGCTCTCTCAAGACGGAACAAATATGTCTTTATCCAGGTATCTCTAGCACAAATAGATGCTCAGACTAATGCACTATCAGACAACAGAATAATTAAGGTTGGAAGGGAGCTCCAGAGCTCATCCTGATTAAACTGATGCTCCAAGCAGGGCCAAACCGAAGCAGGATGCTTGGGTACCTGTCCAAGTCAAGTTTTGAATATTTCCAGGGACAGATTTTCCATGGGTGACCTGTTCTAGTGTCTGACCACTCCGACAGTAAATTTTTTTCCGTATTTTTCCCTGAGGGCTAGATAAGCTTTGGTAGTTCTTCTGCAGCATCCCAGATTTGGGCCTAATATAGGCAGGAAACCTCCTAGATCAGGTTGGCAGGTTGAGCAAGTCCGTGGGAGGTAGTGTCCAATAATTATGGCTGTCCTTTTTCTCTTCATGTAGACACTTGGTTCAGGGTCATCTGGCTCCTGTGCCTCCCCTGATGGGTCTTGTTCCTCCTTCTCACAGGTTCCCAAGGCATTATACCTGTTCAGATCTTTGTGTGGAGAATGAGCCTTTGGTCTGCTGTCAGAAGTTACTGGCTCCCAAGCCTTCCCCATCATGGGAATCTCCATCCACCACTCCTTGGGGACTAGTCTTTATCTGTCCCTCTGCGTTGTGGAGCTCTGGCTTTTGTCTCTCTGGGTCACCCTGCCAATCCCCTGTTTGCCCTCCCTGGTAGTGTACAGTCTTTTCCCCTCCTCCTGCAGCTCATTCACCTGGCAATTCAGTATTTTAACCAGAACACACCTCTCACAGGTAAGCACATCCTTACCCCAGCCCCCAGCCCCAGGGAGAGACACTGGGTACTCCCTGTAGCCCAGGACCTGGATGGTGGCATTCTCCCTCCGGAGTTTTGTCTGGCTTGAGGTCTCTGATGTGCCACAGACAGTTGTTCCAGCCCAGGTGGGATCCTGTGCCTCGTGTGTCATCACCATCACTGTGTAATCTCCAGTAGTCCCACACAGTCTTGGTTGGAGTTTGTGGACCCCTCTGGGCACCTGGTGCACTTACTGTGACAACAACTGTGTCTCCGTTAGCTGCCACTGCCTGCTGAGCTCTGTGTTCTGGTTATACAGAGCTATCTATCTATCCAGACAACTATGAGTTAGCAAAATGAAAAATGCTGATATGCAGACTTAAATTCTGATGTTCTGTTCCCTTTAAACAGGCAGAGATTTTAGCCTATTCAGTTTCCAAGTGAAGAAAATCTGTCTCAGTAGGTCTTACCTTTTTCACCAGGGAACCCTCGATCTCCAACTAGTCCAGGAGACCCCGGCAATCCAGGAGTCCCCATAACTCCCATTTCTCCTTTGGTTCCTGAAAACATAGTGAAAAAGTGATTAACAGAAATATGGCAGAGCAGCATAAAAGAAGTAAGAGAAATGGAATGACTTACTCCCTATTACATTAGAAATTGAACTATTTAAGGAAAAATGGCACAAAGAAGATGGTTTAAGTTAAAATAGCCTGATAGAGAAAACAATAGTAAATATAGTGTTACAAAAAAATGAGAATAAAACAAAGTTTGTAATAGGTGTTTGACAGATCCTTAAAACTTCTTTAATTACAGTAAACAATGCTGTCATTAAGAAAGGCATTATTAAAACCAGATTCTGCCACTGAAACTTCTGTTATTACAAGTTAAAGGGCTAGTTTCTGCAAGCTGCTGGATTTGATCCACCAAACAGTATGAGTTTAAAGTCATACATCCACAGAGCTGCTTTATTGATAACAGCCCAAGTGCTCCCCTAAAGCTCAGACTCTTTGATGGATCAATTCTTAACCAAGCAAAAAGGCATGCTACCAGTATTTAATAAAACAGTTGTCAAAGATACAGATTTCCAAGGCAACGGATTACTTTCCTGAAGGTAAGAATGCTTTACCTGCTGATCCTTTCAGTCCAACTGCCCCTTGTGGTCCAGGCAGGCCAGGTAACCCCACAGACCCTGGTACTCCAGGCTGGCCTTGGCTACCTTTATCCCCTTTTGGTCCTGGCATATCTAGACCTGGGATACCAGGAAAACCCCTTTCTCCTTTTATTCCAGGAAATCCTAAAAAAAAAAAAAAAAAGGGGAAGAAGAAAGATCAGTGTTTAATATAGCACAGAGAATACTGTTAACAAGAGTACTCTATAATGTACTCCTGTGGTTCACAAATTATATGGCCTGAAGACATAAAGCAAATTTCTCTAGCAACGGTAAGATAGCAGCCTAAGGGCAGCTTTGATCATGTATGTATTACCTACGATCAATGGAAGAGACTAAAGAAAAGGGTAGGCATTTTCTCAGGAAGCCTCACACATGCCCTAAGCTTCGGCCCAGAGGAACAAGGTCGCTGACATCCTCCCTGTGCCCCTCCATGCAGCTCACCCCTCACAACAGCTTATGAGTAACTCCTTTACTAACTTAAAGCCAAAAATCCACTACCAACCGCCAGCATGAGAGTATTTTTCTTTCACCTGGTGGTCCCTGGGGTCCTGGTTGTCCAGCAGGTCCTGGTGATCCCTGCGGGCCTAGTCCTGGTGCACCTGGAGAGCCCTGTAAACCTTGTAATCCGGGGAGGCCAGGGTCACCTGTGTGGAAAGAAAAGCGACATATACCAAGTGTTCTCCAATACTATTTGAAATCTGGTTCACAGAAGAGACTAGACAGGTGCTTTGGAAGCATCTGGGCAACAGAAAGTCATTTCAGGCATTTCATACCTCCTACCTGGGCTCAAAAGAAGGGCTACTATTTGCTACTAGTCTTTGCTGCTAGTGATCGGCAGGCAAAAAGAAGGAAAGGAGAAGGAAAAGGACAATATCCTGAGATATCAGTAGGATTTAAATTTCAAATAGACTTTTTGCTGCATCTGCAGAGGAACGACTTTAAAATGAAATAGAAATACGCATATATATCTTAATTTTTTCTGCTATGTTACCTCGGAATCCTTGCTGACCAGGAATCCCTGGAAACCCTTGCTCGCCACGTAAGCCAGGCAATCCTGGATTTCCCTTTTCTCCAGGGATACCAGCTGGGCCAGGTGGGCCTGGTAATCCCTTAGGGCCTGGGAGACCTACTCCAGGTTCACCCTAACCATAGAAACACAATAGATTAGGAGTCTATATATCAAACTCAGGAATGCATTGTTTGGCTGTATTTAAAACACTCAGAGGAAGAATGCTAGGCACAACTTCAGGGCAGATTTGTAAGCAATTGAGAATTAATATCAAGCACTTTGTTTATTTTTGTGCATAGGGGAAAATATAAGATGCACAAGAGTCTGGCCAACTATTTTTTTCTTTGAAAGAGGAATCTTTGCACAGATTCCTGTTAATATGGATACTCACAGAAAAGAACAGTGCCAACAACAGCAGACACCTACTTTTTGCCCTTGTAAACCTGGGGCACCTGGCAAACCATCCAGGCCAGGAGTTCCCGGAGTGCCCGGCTGACCAGGAGAGCCAGGCTGACCTTGGAAACCTGCAAAAACAAAACAAAACTCATATCATTAGTGTCTCTGTCTGTAAGTATCCTCTGTCATTTCTTCAAGCCTCTAAATGAACTATTCACACCCTTACAGTGATATACTTAAAAAGTTCTGCTTCATCTCTTATAACTAAAATTTACAGGGATGCCAGCACCCAAAAGCTAGTGTCCTCAATAGAGATTCAAATGCTAAGCTTCTTGCAGCATTTGACTTTTGATAAGAAATGTGTAATTGCATGTCCTAAATATGCAAATAAAACTCCCTCTGTGGGTCACATACAGAGGGTTTGCGTGCTACAGCAGGCCAAGGGACTGCACTTTGGGAATGCAGGAAGAAATACATCTGACGTTCTGTATTGACACTTAAAGGTAGTGCTCACAGTACTAGCACACACTCAGCAATCAGACATGAAGCGTCTTTCTCAGGCAAAGATCTCAGGAAGTGAGGAATTCAGCTTTTTGGCAAATCACAGAATAACATCACTGAGGCTGGAAGGCACCTTTAGAGGTTATCTAGACCAGTCCCTGCTAAGTACAGAATCAACTAGATTAGGTTTCTCTGAACAGTATCCAGACAGATTTTGAGCATCTCTAAGGATGGAGACTCCACAAGCTCTCTGGGCAACCTGTTCCAGTGTTTGACCACCCTCACCGTAAAACAGTTTCTTCTAACGTTTAAATAGAATTTCCTGTATTTTAATCTGTGCCCATTGCCTCTTGTCTTTTCACTGGGCAACACTATGAAGAATCTGGCTCTGTCTTCTTTTAGTCCCCCCATCAGGTATTCATCCACAAGGCTGAACAGTCCCAGCTCTCTCGTATGCCAGAGTCTCTAACCCCTTAATGATCTTCGTGGATCTTTGCTGGACTCTCTCCAACAGGTCCATGTCTCTCTTGTACTGGGGACCCTAGAACTGGACTGGCTAAGCCCCAGAAAAGTCATTGGGCAGAGCTGCATTCCCCTAAGAAGAGACCTTGAAAGAAATGTCTTTGATATGCCATTCCTTTCCTGCTAGCATCAAAGAGCATACAACAAAGCTTCTCTAGATGCAGCTGACCTCTTCTGTTCATCCTAGTCCCACTCTGGTCTTGGAGCAACTGGAGGTGGTCCCAAGCAAAGATTTGCCCTTTCTCCTCTTTAAGTCCTTCTGACCCTCCCAGATGGCTGGTGTGTGTAATCATAGTAAATGAAATAAATGAGGAAGAGATACAAGAGGTTAGGGAATGGGGCTGACAAAAGGTTAGTTATCTAATCCTCAGGGATTAGCAGCAGCATTATAAAATATATCTCCCAAAAATCCAAACTAGAATATGAACATTTAGACCTCCAACAAGCTTATGCACATATCCTGGCAGCTCATTGGCCATGCAGAGAAGTCTAAACTTATGCTGAACAAACCGGTATTCTGACCAAATCATACCCAGCCACCTGGTACACAATGCAATTGCTAGCTCTAGCCCAAAAGTACCATAGTTATGTCAGTATGGCTTTTTGACCAACCTAAGACAATGCCTCAACTCTCAGCAAGGTCACCTCATGTCTCACCAACCTCAGATGCTGTGCTAAGATACTGTGTTCTATCAGTTTCAGTTCTGGCAATAGCTTTGACACTGCCCATGTCTGCACAAAGCAGGTGTGCGTTGAGAGTATGCTGACCATGGTGCTTGCATGACTTTCACAACGGAGGCCACTGACTCTTCAGCAGCACTTCCGAAATTTCCTGCTGCAGCCACGGCTGCATGACAGTGCAGCCCTCCACTCACACTCCAGATACACCACCTCTGTTAGTTACACGGATAACTGTATCTTACCTTTGGGTCCTGGAGGTCCAGGGAACCCTATACCTGGCTGCCCAACAGCACCTTTTTCTCCTGGCAGGCCAGGTCTTCCTGGTAGTCCAGGATTCCCTTTGTCACCTTTGCAAGGGGAAAAAAGACAAATGTTATGATAAAGGCTAGCTCCTGAGGAACAGAAACATTATCCTCATCACCGCACAGATTAAGATGATACTGTACCTTGAGGTCCAGGGAAACCAGGTGGCCCAGGAAGGCCATCTGCCCCAGGAGGACCAGGGAGAGGAACAGTTCGTCCTGCTTCACCTTTTGCCCCTGTGAATGTAAAGATGTACTAAGAATGTGAACTGATGAAACCAAACAAGGAAGTTTCACCTAGTGAGCAGTGTTAGTCAGCACCTCCATGACAAACTTTTTATGAAGTTTGTAGAAAATCTGTAGAAAAACAGAGCTTGTAGGAGGAACCAAATCATCCTGCTTTGGCTTAAGAAACTTCAAGAAAACTGCCCCTAACCAGTTTCAAGTATACTGTTGAGAGCAAACACCGACCTAAACTATTAGGTCTTTTTCTTTTCATCTTAAATCCCAGTGATTCCTTAAGTTGCATCACTTAAAGTATTTTTTTAAGCATAATATAGCATTACCTGGAAGGCCTGGTAAGCCTGGGGTTCCAGCAAAGCCTCTGTCTCCTTTGTCACCAGGCAACCCTGCTGAGCCTGTCCCAGGAGGACCAGGAAAACCTCTTTCACCACGTACTCCGGGGAATCCAGGTTGGCCGGGGGGACCACGTTCTCCTTTCAAGCCAGCTGTACCCTAATTTTTAGAAACTGTAATTGTACTTCTTGCCTGATTGGCAAGACAGGACATGTTCTCCTCTTTGTCTGAATATTCTGTAGCTTGGATTTAGCATAGGGTACTTATCTTTACCACTGAATAAAGGAGATTCTTTATCACTGAATTCATTGGAAATAGGACTGGGTCTCATGTGGAAGAGCACACAGAAACTATACCTGTTGTGCACATGGGAACTCTACCTATTGTGTAATGCAAGTAACTGAGTCATTTAGGCTATATTCCCAGTGGTGAATCTTGGAACAAATCTGAGCTCCACAACCACGTGAACTGCCTAGTAGGGCAAGAATTTGAAACGTTAGTTTCAAAAAGAAGAAAGTGTGCTAGAAGAGAGTTGCATCTCCTTGTAATCATCTCTTCTTGGCTAACTGCATTCCTTCAGTCATCTCCAAAAATGAACTAAATCAGATACACTAGTTCTTACTATCAAGGCAGAAGAGAAGGAGAAGGGAACAAAAATAATGTCCACGCTCACCACTTTGTGGGGGAAGTAGCTTGTTACCTGAAAGTAACAAGCCATGCAGTATGAACACCTCTGAGTCAGACCACTTATCTGCCTGACACGTATACAGGGTTAAAATCTAACTCAGAAAAACTTTGCTGTTTAAGGACCCTATTCCTCACTAGTTCCAGGGAAACTGGAGTCCTCTTTTGAGGAGGAACAAATCACTCCAGGTAAGGACAAAATGGTATTCAATGAATGAGACCAATAAACATAAAGCATATGTGGGACCTAAGAACATAGACTTCTGATCTGAAAGATAGAACAGCATATAAAAATGAAGAAACACACATACCGATGCTCCTTTCGGACCCTGGGGACCTGGCAGGCCATCTTTTCCTGGTGTTCCTTCTCTTCCAGGAATACCTGGTTGTCCTGGGAAACCAGGATCTCCCTTTTCACCTTTCAGGAAAGGTTCATAAGAAAAATCTCCTGGTTCTCCTTTTGCTCCAGGGCTGCCTATAAGTCCTGGAGTGCCTGGGGGCCCCTGAAATTTAATAAATTCAAATGTCATAGGAGCCCTGTCAATCAAAAATTAAAGAGTAGGCACAAATCAAATAAACCATTCAGTCTTCAGTCAAGGAGGTCTACCAGGAGAGAGCAGTATGAATAAGCAATTATTGCAAAATCCACTGTCTTGATCATCTTGTCATCACATCATACCATAGGTATATCATTTTATATGCTGCACATAAATTTCCACTATTTACATAAGAACTGCAAGTCACGACCCTGGAAAAGTACTCTGAATTTTCAATAGACTGCTTGCTGGATTTCAGCTAGACCTATGGTATCCACATCAGGGTAATCTAGATTTCTTAGAACTGTCTTTTTCAGAGTTTACATGACTCCCCATACCTTTAAATGACAAATTCATATTCCGTAACACTATAGGCTCTATTTCTCTCACCCAATTGCAACAAAGGTTATCTCTAGATTTCCAGTATAATTTACAATACCTGCAGAAAAGTAGCACAATGTGCAGATGTGCAAAGACGAGCACAGCTTACTCTTAAAACTCCAAGCCTACAGCTGTAAACTGCCCATGCAAGCCCAAAGCTCATCATTTTGTTTCTTTCAAAATTTTTTAAATCAACTATAATATTCCTTAGAGACTGCCTACTAAATTCATTCATTGTCTTATACAAAACTCAAATGCGGCTATTTGCACGAGAGCTAAGGCTAATTATCCAAAGCTGAAAGCTCCATCCTCCTTATCCCTTTAGTTACAAGATTTAGATGAAGCCAATACACACTTCACTTGATTATTAACATTCACTCATTTTGTACAATTAGCATCCACAGTCAGTTGGTACTATCACATCACTGGGCACATGTTCAAAAAGGTTTTGTAAGCTCTCCAGGGCAGAAATTCCCTACATAATAATAGGATATTCTGTACTTTCAGAAGTCCAAATTTTGCCTACATATTGTCCAGAACTTACATGTGCTTCTCTCATACAAACAGTGTCTATAATTTCAAGTGAATCTGCTCTACTCACTAGGGTAGCAAAGCACAAAATTCCTGAGCAACATCCACTGCTTATGGCTTATGTGTACCCTCCATTTAAACCTGAGCCAGTATACAATCAAAGGCAATCTTTCCACTGACTTTGCTAGGTCCTAGATTAAACTCTGATGCTCTGGCATGGCTTTGAACAATGTGAGCTTGCAAGGCTGAGCTCTAAGTAATTTTTCCAAGCTAAACTATGTTCTGGGTCTCCACCTGACTGAACTTTGTGGGGCAAAACAAGCTTAAAAGCATTCAGAATACTAGCCAGTCCTTGTCTGATAAAAGGTGTGAACAGAATTTAACAGACAATAAAGGGTAAGTGTAAAGGTGTGGCAAAATATGTGCTGAGAACAAATCCCAATCATGACAAAGTTTAAATATGTCAGGATGTCCTCTTTTATTTTTCTCCATGGTTTCTTTCAGCAATCCAGTTTATATTACAGTAAACGAAGTCACTGAGTAACACCATCGTGTTTATCAGGGCGGAAAAACAGAGAGTGGAATTCATCTTGGCTAACTTCAGTTGCCTAAATGCAGGTATCTAGGCTTGATTTATACTCAAGAGAGGGGAACGGGTTCCTCAAGTAAGTAATTCATATAGGTGGGATAGTTTAACTTCCGAAGGTGCCTGTCACCACTGGCGATAGAGGGAACTTGGATAACTTCAATGTGTGTTAAAGTTAGCCCACATAAACGTCATCAAGAAGCTATGTTGCCAAAAACGCTTAGCTGGAAGGCGAAAACAGCTCTGGACAAACCAGGTTAGACAGACTCTGACAAACTCTCAGTCTACTTACATTAGGAAAGGTGTCAAAATCCATTTTATAGTACAGGAACGTGTATGCTAATGCAGGTCTTTACAGCAGACCACATTGACTGCGGGAGCACTTAAACAACCTTTGACAAAATCAACCATAATAGTGCTAGTGCAGTGCTAAGGGTTATTTGTGCTACATTTTTGGCAAGTGCTATACTTACATGGCTACTCTGCTACTGCTATTCAGCCTTTCCCACTGATGGTTGTGTTATGCTGTGTCAACATAATTTACATTCTCAGGATACTATCCAGTTTCACAGTCTTCTTTTATTTCTTGAAAACCACTTAACTTTCCTGCTCTCTATCTGAAAATTAGGTTTTATGGACCTACTACGCTACACACATTTCCCAAAATTCAGACAAACTGCTAAAATATGTTGCATGATAATATGATTTTAACCACCTAGGCTACACTAGATGGCACTGCACTCTCTCTTTCACTCTCAATATGTATACACACAACAGCAGAGAGACATGGGAAAGACCTCTTGTAATATCAGAAGGTCAGACGTGCCTGTTTCATCCAAAATCCTACTTCTTGCCTAACTCTGCTGCTTAGCTTGCTGAGCTGCAAAGTCACTTGTCCTGCTGAGTTCATATGACGGATAAGCACAGAAATGTAACCCATTTCTGACAGCTCGTTTCCTCTCATAGCTAGATCTCACTGCTCCACTTTATTTTGCTGAGCATACTCAGTTCCTTAATTTTATTATATCACTGTGCTGGTCTATTTTTAAACATAAATCTTACACAACCACATTGAATGTTTTTTCATGACACGTCTAACAGGAAATAAATGCAAAACATTTGGAAAGGTATTACTCACAGGTACACCTGGAAGGCCATCAAGTCCAGGTAGGCCTCTGTCACCTTTGAAACCCGCTTGTCCTGGAAAACCTTATCAGAGAAACGAAAAATAGAATTCTATTTATTATATGCTTTTACAAATAGCTCATGGTCTGTGGAGCCTTTATGATCCTTCTCCAAGCATCCAACTCCATCCCTAGTTACATCAATATAATGTTTTTAAAGTCAGTGAAGTTGTCTGCATGCATTAGAGCTCAGAAGTTGAAGATGCATTTGACTTACAATGAAAATACACAAAACATCTCCATGTCAAGGGGTTGGACACTATGGTCTAAATTTACATTACCATTTAGAACTATCATTTAAACATTGCGCTGTTGAAACTACCTAAAACACACTCATTTTTCTTCATAACCACTAGAACAAATATTAAATATAATATCACTGTTTGTGCATGGCACTTCTCTGACATAGTAGCAGGCAAATTATTTCTTTTTAACCATACAAATTAATGATAAGACTGGGAATGCATATATGTGCTACTGCTGTGCCTGGGCACATAGTGGCAAATGCTTCCCATATTATTTTCTTGCTTTCACAGTTGTCTCTGAAAACATTTGGTCCACAGTTTTCAAAGACACTCCACTGTGACCAGTTTCTGCTTCCTTAGAAATTCTCCTTGATTTCAGTGGGAATCTGGAATCACGTCAATAAGAATATCCCATCCTTCTTTCATTAGTTTCACAAACAATTTGATTAATGGAACAAAAAATAATTATGTGACTTAAGTTGCATTTTTAGGTTTTAGCTTAGGTATTTGATTTTGCCATGGGTTTTTACCTGCTGGACCTGGTGGCCCTTGTGGTCCTGGGAGTCCAGGAGGTCCTACTTCTTCACATAAGGCACAGGAATCACCTTTCTCACCTAAAAAAAACAATAAGAAAGAAACAAAAAACCCACTAATGAATAACGATGAAAAGATACGAGACAACTGCAGGCTTCGTGCTACAAGATTAAAAATAAATGTGTTACTTTTAACTAAATGTTTAAAATAAAATTTATCAGCAAATTTATTCATTAAAAACTTTAAAGGGATGTCAGGAAATCAACTAATTCTTATCCTAATAGTAATATTTAATAGAATGGTCAAAAGGGACCAGGCTGAAGAGGGTCAAGAAAGAAGGCAGCAAATATATACTGGGTATAGAGGAAATAAAAATATTAAAAGAGGAAGAAGAAGAAACTTTAAAACTCAGAAAACTTCATCTCAGAATTCACATCTTCAGTTGCCATGAACAGCTCTATTTACACTTAATAAGGCAATACTCAACCCTTTTTTTCTTCTCCGCCTCTCTTTCTGGCCTTTGCCATCCTCTATCGCTTTCCAGTAATGTGGAGGCTAAGTGAAATATAAGTGAAGTTTCGGTCACACGACTCGATACACGGCACGCTTCTATTACTTACGCAAGACTCAAGAAACATCTTTAGCGTCCGTGAACTGCTTGTGTAACTAACATTAACGCTGTTTCTCTGGTTCCAACCCAACCTCCTCAGCTTCTTGACAAAGCCAAGTCCCAGGGAACAAAGCAGTAGAAAACAATCACACATTAACTTCAAATAATATTACCTTTCTCTCCCATCTCTCCTGGAAATCCATGCTGTCCTGGAGCTCCAGGTCTACCTGGTGCACCCGGTTCTCCTGGCTGGCATTGATCAATTCCATCTGCAATTGAAACGTAATAATAAGGAATATTGTTTGAAAATTGAAAATATCCATTAGAAGGCTGCTTCTGTGAGTGTCACAGCTGAATGTGTCTTCATGAGTAGTGAGGAGTCAGGGAACCATTTTATTTTCCTGTTTGTTTTGCTCTGAAAAAATTTTCTGGGATTTTGTATTCTGACTCCACATATGTACTTCAGAAAACTCTAAAATTACAGAGAAAAGATAGGCTCTGTCATAATAAGATTACAAACAACTTCCACATAAAATCCTATTTGTTATCATAATTTTCAGCTAAGAAAAGTGCTTTGGATGAAAAAATGCACTTTTGACCCTGAAGACAATGGAGAATATTTCTTGAAGTTCGGAAGAAAATCATTAAGTAGAGTTGTTTGTATATAGACTTTTGTTTTCCGTGTTTTGCGAAACTTTCTACATCAAGAGTAGCTTGTTAGCACCTAACTTCTCCACATTGCTAAAGCCTCCTGAAAACAAGAAACTATGCATATTGGAACTGGAACGGTTGACAAAATATAATGCTTAGCAGAGTTGATATGAGAATAAAAATTACACGTGTTCTGTTAGATGTTACGACACTGCTTCTGATTCAAAACAAACACACATCATTTTGGTCAAAGTCAGTAGTCAAAATCTTTATGTGAAGTTTGGCAAACAAAAGTTAAATGCAAACAAGAAAAAATTGTTTTCCATTAAAGAAGTGTCCAGGGAAGGAACAGAATTAAGCATTGACAGAAAAATGGGAATTATTCTTCTTCTTATGAGAGGCAAGGTAAGATTTAGCTATTTAGCTCCCTGTTCTAAGTGTTGGACTTTGTAGTGACTCATTGGCAAATGTAGCAACAACTGCAAAGCAAGTGTTGACCCTGTTCTCTCCTAAGATAATTTCATTTTACAATAAAAACTTTTAGTAAATGAAAAAACCTAAGTACCTCAGTCTATAGTTCTTATATTTTCTCAATCTACATTACATACATTGGAACTGAAGACTTGTAAATTGTGATATTGCACAACCATGTTTTATGGTAAGAACATTATTAGTACTTCTAATTGTTTTTACTGAGAATGTATAAATATCTCTGAGCTGGCACATCAGAACACAGAGGAAACCAATACGTATTACGGCAATTTATTTGGATATAATGTAACAGTCCACAGTACTTTCTGAAGACATTTTAAAAGCACTTATTTAGCAAAGAATACCTGCCCCAGTCTGGAAACGGGTGGCTTGCTTACTGCAGGGTGGAATAGTTTTTAGTTGACCCATTAATAGCTCAGATACGTTTTTTCCATGCTCTAGATGCATCTTTTCATGCATGAATTCTGATCGTAGCTTTTAGAATCTTGTCTCCTTTTTCTTTTCATGTCCATGCAAATTTTAACAATTTTTGAGACTTCACACTGAAAAGCAACTGAGTGCTTTACCTACCTGTTACGCCTGGAGGACCTGGTGGGCCCGGCAACCCAGGAGGACCCGGGAAACCATCTCTTCCAGGTGGTCCGGGTAAAGGGAAACCCGGAGAACCCTTTTCACCTTTTTCACCTCTCTCTCCAGGGACACCAGGTGCTCCTACCCGATCTGGAACAGGTCGACCTTTGGACAGAGTAAAATGTACATAAAGAAAGTTATAATTAAAAAGATAATAACATTATTAACACATTAGCTTCCGTTGCTTTTCTGAGCTCAAAGAAAAAACACTACTGTAAAATCAAAAGGGACTATATTTTCACTACTGGTGATTTACACAAAATTCAGGTTATAATCTCACTACAGCTCAGAATAACACATTTGCATTAGGTCCCTATGCAAACACACTTACTCTGCTGCAAGAGTGCCCCCTGAGATTTAATTTAATCAGCTTTTGCTGGGTAGGAAAAAGTGGCCACAGGGGAGTTAACTGAGAATATTTATTATACTTAGAAGCTATGACACGTTTCCTTATCTCATAATACGCTAAATATTTATGTCTTAAACATAGCTAGAAATGGACGGTATCTCTAAGAACCTCAGTGAATAAGTATTCAACAATGCTAGGAGGTTTCCAGAACGCTAAAACCAAAACCGTTTGTAGGAATAAGAAGCAAATAATAGCCAGTAAAGAGAATCCATTCTCTTTAGCTAGAAAAAAACTACTTAAGAACTCCTTTCAGTCATTTGTGCAGTCACACAGGTCTTCATACTTTAATGAGCTATTTTAGTTAAAAACTAATCATTAGACTTGATCACTAAAACATTTTGATCCTCCTACAACATCGCAAGAAGATATGAAGAGTCAAACAAATCTCAATTTCTATAGGGTAACAACAGACTAAGAGCTACCATTAGTCTTGTCTCGTCATGCAGAACTCTCTAGGCAATATCACAGCCTACAGTGTATAGTGTCTCCTACCTAAACAGTGAAAAATTTCCTGGCAAATATCTGACACTGGTTCACACTAATTTCATACTTAGATCACTGTCAAGACGGAAAATGCAGGCAAAGGGCAAGGTAATATTAATATCACTAGCGGATGTGCTGGAGTCAGGTTTCTGCAGATGATTTGCTTCATTGTTGAAAAGCTAACCTTGTGGCTTAGTCCAAACACATGTACGTGTGCACATACACATAATACGTGTGTTGTCACGGATGAGAAGATATCAGAGTACGAAAAAAGCAACACTTTCAGGGAGAAGAAATATCTTGTATTGGATTCAGTGATAGAGCTGAAAAAAAACTCAGTGAGCTTTCATGAATGATGTTGATTTAATAAATGATATTACTTCTCCCTACAAGCCTAGTTTTATTGTATTTATGCAAACACGTGTACCGCTGAAGTAAGAGCAAACCAAACCATATGGAAGATGGCATGCATTCATATACATATCTGTGCATGAGTATACATAGATAGGCACATACATACATATTTTACAAGTTTTCCTGCCCAGGGAACGTAAAATTTCTGGACTATCTCTGACAACCAGTGGGTATTACCTCTTTTTCACTTTAAACAGAAAGACTATTCCTTGCAAAAAGTTAACAGGGCTCTATACAGAGAGAAAGGCTGGATCACACCAGAGACATGAGAAAAACAATCCGCAGGAAGGGCTGAGGGTGAGGATTAGACCCCCAAAGCAGCCACTGCCCAGGCACTCTGCAAGTCAGGGGAAGAACAAAGGAAAAAAGTAAACAAAATCAGTGGTCACAAAGACATACCTGGAGGACCTGGGATTCCTTGTATACCAGGGAAACCTGAAAAGGAGAGGTTTAAAAAAGAGAGGGTTTCAATTATGCGATGAAAGAGGCAATGCCAACACCAGTGACCTTTTAGCACATATTATGTAAGTAGGCATTATGAGTAAATATGGTCTGAATCAAAGCTAAAGTTAGATAGTCTATAGACATCTGCAAACAATACATTTAATGAAAAGGCCCTGATCCTACAAGCACTCAGTGCCGTCTTCTCCACTGATCTTTCATCAACAGGGTAAAGGTCTATGATGGGGAAAAATGAAAATCAATCATGGCTTGATTTTCCACGTTTACCGAGGAGTTTTACAAATTACTTATGAGTCTTTTAAGACTAAAATTTAGCTACTAACTTGCTTAAATAAGGACTCTTTTCAAGAGTCTCTGAATTATTATCCTACCTTATGCTTCTGTAGATTTCCGTCTTTGCTGAATAACCTCTTACTGGATTATCTAACAGCCATAAAAACAATGTTTCAAGTCCCATTTTATCCTTTCCCTGACTGTTTTAATCTATTTTTGAAACGTAGTCTTATTTACAATGAGAGAAAGCATCTTTTGAGCAGTGCGTAACAAACCCACAACAAAATGCAATAACATGGTATCGATTAAATTAATGACTAGAACATTTAATCGTCATATAGAGCCCCAGAGGCATAAAGACAGTGCAATTATAATTTCCTGTGAAAGGAAAAATAAAAAATATAGCTCAGGTAAAAGGACAAGGAAAAAATACACACCTTTTTCACCTTTTTGACCTTTCAGTCCTGGCAAGCCTGAAACTCCAGGGTCTCCCTTTTCACCAAAAGAATCCACTGCTCCAGTATCTATAACCTGAATCACAGGACAAAGCACTAGAACACCAGGAATATACAACTAAGCTCAAGTTTGCATCTCATCTATCCTGATCTGATGGCACAGAGGCCATTTTACTACGTGAGAACAACTTTTAGCAGCTTCAGTCATCCTGGCAATTTCACTGATACGTAATAACCATTGCAAGGGACAGGTAGCTGCTGAGGAATTACCAGAAAAAAAGATTTCCTGTTCTACCAGAATTCCTTCATATCAGCAGTAGGATTAACTGGAGAGCTTTATAGCACTTCTCTCAATAAGAATGGTGTAAAGACACCTTAACATGGTCTCAGCACTGATCAATCAGCTTTATATTACCTTTAAATTTAAAAGGCTCTATTCTGGTAATTTCTGCTAGCATCGATCTAAACTTGACAAAGGATACTATAGTTGCAATTAAATATGCAAGAAGCATGCACCACTTTTCAAACTAAATTCATATGTTGGGAAAGAAGCACGATTGTCAATAAATGTGTTCTTGACTAATAGCAATTTCATTTTTTACTTTAAGTGTTAAAAAAAGCTGACAGACGTTTACATTTGAGCCCTCTTTTGAATAGTTTGTACTGATTAACAATTGTCTATTATTTTCGTAGCCAAAACCTTCAAAATTCATATTCCTTGGGAGCTCCCTTTCCAAATTTCAGTCAAACTTAAGAAATAGGGTTTTCAACTTTTGCTTCCATTAAGGAAAAATGATAATAGTATTACTGTTTTCAATGAGATCAGAATATATATAGTCTCTCCTTTTTTCTGACTGAGCGTGCTTTGACTTTCATGACATGCATATTGTCCTTTAAGCTCAAATAAAACAAGAATTTATTTTACTTACTCTTCCTGGCGGCCCTGGAAGACCTTGGTCACCTTTTTCACCCTAAATCAAAATATATTTCACATTTTAAATTGAACAGCTGCACACATAAAACTCAGTGACATTCAGTTATTTTCTGTACAGTATATGAGATTTTCTTCACTACAAAGTAGAATTTCCTTAGCAAGTGAGTGCTTTGATACATATTCACACAAATTCCAAATGCTAAGTGCCTGAGACATTGCAATAAGCAGTAATTAGTTACAGTTCATAGGACTGTACTGCTTTACGCCATGTAGAGAGAATCTCTGATGTGGGGGAAAGTACATTTTTACACTTGCTTATGTAAGAGCTTACATAATTACAGCTTGCACTAAATTATTGGTATAAGAGATCTAAAGTAAGGATGCCTAAACAACTCTAATTTTGACATTTCCTAAACTCTGCATGGGGCCTTCACAACATTCATTTAATACTGCTTTCTGTGCGTTTGTTGTTTGAACGCATTCCTGTGAACAGGGCATATTAAGTTCTTAACGATTCAGTCTGCCCAATGGGAAGTAGGAGTCCACTACACACCTTAACACCAGGTTCACCGGGTCGTCCGGGAATCCCATAACCGCCAGGCAAACCCTGCGTGTGGAAGACAGTAAAATCAGGTAACAGGAATATAACTGTACCTTAACTCTGTCAGCATCAAAGTTTTAAGTTCTCAAACCAGTCACAATTTTATGTAAACAATTCAGAAGACTAGAAAATTCCAAACAGCTGCAATAGACAGTCAGGTTTTGGTTTTAAAATGTAACATATAATAAGGAAAATTCAATAAAACACATACGGGTTCTCCCTTTGGTCCCGGCTCACCATCTTTTCCAGGCTTTCCCTGTAAAATACCAAGTTCCACTCTGCTTAATAGACTGTCACATAAATACAATCGCCCTGTACCAAAACTAAACAATCACTTTTATAATGCATTAATGGAAGAGTTAACAGCTCAAGTGTAGAGTGTACAACCTAAGCAAACTGACTTCCTAGTGCTTATATTATTCAACTTCCTACAACCATCAATGTTAAGTAAATTCCTGCAGATCTGGTCCCAGCTCCAGTAACAACTTATGGATTTCCCAGCCAAAAGTCCTCGGACAGAATAGATCAACAGCACAGGAAGCAGGAACTAGGCCCAGAAATAGCACTCCCTTTCTAACCTCTTGCTTATTCACTCTCCAGCCTCACAAAAATTTTATTCATAGCTAAATCAATGGCTCAGTCCCACCAGAAAGGCTGGAAGAGTGGCCCCACATCAGATCACAGGGTAATCTAGTGGTAAAAACACCTTCCATACATTGGACGCTATAATTTCAAATGGGGAGGCAGATGATAACCTAGAATCCAAGATTCTCACTTCCAAGGCAAGTGGCTCCACTGTTAGACCACTGTACTAGTCTACACAGAGGATTAGATTCCCTTGAGGTAATAATAGGCACGTGATAAATGACCTAGATGGACCAAACTGCTTTTCAGGATTCTCTCTCTCTTTACTATGGACTCTAAAGGAAGCAGAGCCTAGGCTTGCAGCCTAATCCACTAGAGGCAGGCCTTTAGTTGGTGTCACAGTGCTCAGGTTGTGTATCTATCATAGGCAATATGAGTTTGTCCCACAAAACTTACAAAAGGAGTATATTTAATGCAGCAAGTAACATGCAATTTAGTCTAAAAATAATCCTATCAATTCTAGGGCAAAAAAAAGTCAATCTGAAACAATTAAATGGAAGGTTAAAAATGAAACAACAGACATGTCAACTGGCCACCAGCACTGGTGGTGCAGCTATGGTATCTTATGAAGAAGTGTTCCTAATTAAAAATATGAGCTGTAAAACCAAAACAGATAGTAGACTGCTCAAATGTACATTGTAACTGGAATTAAACATATGGTAGTCAAATGATTCCATAAAACTAGAAATCTGATCTTAATATTTCTTTATTTGTCAAGACTTAATTTCAGAAGGAGCTATGAATAGCATATAGCAACACTTAAATAGCAATATTTATATACAAGTTTCTTAGAAACGTTGTTCAGGGAACTCTGCAGAAACTGAAAGCCATGTATTTGCACAATCCATTCAAACACGCTCTAATTTCCTCAGTAAGGTCTAGGTCAATGTTTCTCCATCCTCCCACCTTTCAAGCCCTCATTTACTGTAAGAGGAAAAAGTATATACATGATAGTAGGGACAAACCCATCATGTATCTATAATGAAAGGTTGACAGAACACCTGACCTTTAAGCATAACGAGAAGTAAAGAGTGAGATTTTCTCTTTTTCAGATTGCAGTACAATTCGATGCCTATAGCTCTCCTGGGTCTTTACTAAGAGCTTATGTTGACTCACAATTTGAGAAACAGTAATCTAGATAACATTTTATGCAGAAACTGTTTTTGCTACCAGCTGAGCTATGCAAGATACAGCACGACTCACACAGGCGTGGTATGGATAAGACTATGACATAGGTCAGATTAGGCAAACGTAACAGCCCCTATGGCCTCAAGCATCTATAGTCAGGCTAGAAATCAGCAAGGTAACCTAGGTCAGTCATATACATTTTTTGCTCCGTTCCTCCTCTTTGCAAGAAATGGTTCCTTCAGCAAAATAGACTTATTTTGCAGATTGCACAAAAGAGTACTTCAAATGTTTCATTCAGCTAAATTCATCCATACAGAGTGATTTGTTTTGCTTCGTTTTTCCTTCTGTGCTGGAATGACCTGGGGATCAGCTGGGATCGGGGGGAGTCCCGCCTCCACCGTCAGCACCTCTTTAGTTAGCTGAAAGCTTGTTACATACTACTATTACTGCACACTATCGCTGTCTTGACTCGTACACCTGTCCTGCTAAAGACTCCTGCAAAACTCGCTTCCCTGAAATATATCAAATTTTTTGAAATAGACCAATTTCATTAATGGTTACTAAGTTTAATTAGTTTATGGAAACAAAACAATGCCTAAAACTGTGCTCTTGATAAAGTTGATCATACTTACACGTGGACCAGGCTTTCCAGGTTCACCCTTTTCCCCTTTGAAACCTGAACCTGGTAATCCCTGGAAAATAAATAAACACCACATTAAGAATGCTGACATACTCTAACATAAATACGCTTTTATCTCTCAGCTATAAAGATCTTTAGGACCACCATTCAATTCTGTACAATTTTCACTATAATAAAAAATCATCTCCGTAATACTTACTGGGACACCCTGTTCACCTTTTTCACCAGGTTCACCCTAATTAAAGTAGAAGAAAATGCAGATTAATAAGCAAAATCTTACCCATAATTCATTTTGGCTGTAAGTCATTTACTTCTTCATGTAAATGAAGAACACAGCACACTTAACCTTGCTCCCCACTTCAAAAAACTATGCCTAACAGTATGATGTGCAAGAAGTCAAACTAAACACAAATTTTTAAACACAAAACTGGATTCCATTAAGCCAATTTATTATACTAATATGTGTTGCTTATAGTGTCTGATTCAATAATTGCAGAATTCATTAGCACTTAGATTCCATAAATGTGATTCTGTAAGTGAAAAGACCAGTATAAGTTACTTAATTCAAATGTTTAGAACATTTGGGGTTTACCAGACTATGCTTATCAATTGTCCTTCCTATTTATGCAGTTATCATCAGTTTTTTTCAGATAAACTTGTAGAAATACCATCAAAATTGATTATACAAAATAGGGAGAACATTTTTAAGAACTGGCTGTAGGTAACAATGTTCCCTTTTCCTTTAGTCAGCTAGTTCCTACTGATCATCCTTTAAAGAAGAGGAAAACAAGAGTAATTATTTAAGGTCTCACCTTTTCTCCCCTTATGATTTCACTTCCTTTTTCTTTCATATGTGGAGCTGGGCCAGGAGGTCCGGGGGGGCCCCTTACCCCTTGTTCTCCCTGTCAATACCAAATGGGGATAGCTCATTAGAAATAGCAGTGACAATGAGAACAATCCTTACTTAGACCAATAAAATAAAACAGAACTACCATTCACTTTTAAAAATACAGTTAAATTTTTTAAACTATTTTTTCAGTAAAATCAGAGACAGTTTTGCATACACAGTTACAAGAGACACAATTTTGTAACGTGTTATAAGCTAAGACTGTCCTGAAGAGGGATCTCTGTACCTCCTGATAAGCTAGAGAATGATTAATAGTGAATATCAGGAACATGTCCAGCATTAATTATTATAATAGTGCAAAAGTATTTTAGTGCCTCCCTTAGAAGAAAGGATATTAGGAGAAAAGAGGCCAGGTTCATAAAATCTATGCTTGAAAATAAAAAGCGAGTCAAAGTTTATAGTGTTCCACCAGTTTTACCACTGTCTCTAAAGGCCAAGTTCAAGAAGGCAAGTGTGGACCACACCCTGCTAGTATACACTTGTCCGTAACAGTGTGGAAACCTCGCCTCTTCATATTGGGGAAAAGCAGTATCTTTTACAGTAAAACATGTCCAAAAGGATTGATACACTTCTGTAAAGCAACACTGCCTAGCAATACTGTTCCTTTTTTCCTAAAGGCAAACCTGAGGAGTCCAGAAGACCACGTGCTTCTATTGTCAACATTTTCCAAGCAATTTTATGATAACATGGTAATCTCAACAATGCATCACGTCATTAAAAATTGTATCCAGTAGGAATAGAGTGTTTCCAGACATAACTCACTTATACTTGAAAAGGCCTCTGCCAGTGACACTCACGAGGAGCTTCTGAAGAAGCAAAGGGCTCCAACATGCAGTCTACTGAACTATATAACCCATGACTGCATGCATTTCTTGGCTCCTGCAAATGCTACCTAAAACACACTAGCCTAGACCTCAGCAGGAGACGTAACACGTTAAGCCTAGTATGTTTTACCTCCCAACTGATGCTGGTAAAGAGAATAAATGGGATCAGTTATCATAGCTTAGCTAACACATGGTAACTCAAGCAGTGCATCACAGTTGAGTTAGTCATAGAGAAGGCAGAAAAGTCAAAAACAAAGATCAAAATCTAGCAACAAGGAAAACAGAAGTAGGGTCATAGGGTCAGTACCTCTGGAGCAAACGGTGAGAAGCAGGACAGCACAAAATCCCACACTGGCTTCCGGGATGCTTACTATTTTTATGAACAAGTTTACTATTTTCATTTTGGCAAGTAATGAGATACCGTGCAAATACTGCTGCTACCAGCAATGAGCACATCTTTCGGTTCAGTTTCATTCAAAAGGAAACGAGTCAGTGTGCTCTGAAACTGCTCTTGGCTGAGCCAAAACACAGTAAAAGGGGACAACTGAAAGACCTGCTTCAAAAGCACGGTCCCAATCCCAAATAAAACAGTGATGCAAACAGGCTCTCAAGAGTCCTATCACAATTAATTCTGATGATTTTGGATAGCATATAAGATCTCATCCCTTAGATCTAAACCAATTTCAAATAAATATCATGATGAGCCCTACTATGAAGAATAAATGATTTCTGATCTGCCAACTTCAATCTAAATATTTTTTTCTGTAGTTGGTACCAGTCACAGCTGGAAAACGGGATAATGGCCTAATTAATCTCAAGTATAACAGCCTCATGTCAAAATTCTGTAACCTCTCATGAATTATGTTCATTTGGTTATGAGTTACAGATTTGATTTATTCAGCTCTTCCAAAAATTATAAAGTTATTGCACCAATTTCATCCACAGATTCATTCCAGAAATTTATTTATTTAAAACAAATAAAGTTTCAAGAATATTTCTGACAGTTGCTCTCTAAAAGGTTTCAAAGGAGACTTACCTTTTCACCTTTAGGACCCTGAAAGCCCAAGCCCATATAGCCCTGACAATAAAAATCAGATATAGATTAGCGAATTTTTATCAGCAGTGCACATGTACATACATACACACATATGAAATATTTTGGAAATGGAAAAAGTTAAGAGAGGCTGTAAGAAACAATCTTTTTAATACACATACGAAACAAACAAATAAATCATGTCTTAACTCCCTCAGCTGTTTTCTTAAGTCCCACGTCACAGCAATTAGTGAAAAAAAAAAAAGAAATGAAATTTATAGTATCATTTTAGTGTTAGTATGCTCCTTTTTTTCAACATGTTATTGACAAACGAGGACATTACATTTTGACATTTTTAGATGGGTCAAAATAATCACCGAATGCTGTAGTTACTACTGATTTGCTCAAGTAAGATAACAGATCTAAGCAAATCTGAAGAAGCCTAAAAAATTAGCTTAAAATCCCCTCTCTCTGATGCTCCATTATGATGTAAACCTAGATCCCTAAGTGTAAAAACACCCACTCCTTTAGCACTACTAGTTTCCAGCTTTTGTGGAAACTAGTGTGCCAAATAAATAAATGCACAGACTTAATCTTTATAATAAAACAAATCCTTACCTTCTCACCTGGGGGTCCTGGTTGCCCTGGAGGACCCTGCAAGACAGAACATTTTAGCAGATATGTGTGTAGCATTTTAAGTGGACTAATTTCTATGTTCTATAAAGCAAAAACACAAAGCTTTCCATGAAACTAAGACATAAGGTATTTCTCTGCTACTGTCTACTCCTGCTCACAACTGAACATAAATAACAAACATGAACAGAACCTAAGATCTTCCATCAGCTCTTGTTACGCAGTTAAGAATACTGGACCTAGTCAGCACCTAGACAAGAGACAACCAAAGAAAGCCTACGGTACTGCCCTGAAAAGTAATGTCATCACTGACTTTGTTGTGCTTGTTTTGCATGCTACTGACTGCTTGCACTAAATATTAATCCTCAGATTTCTTTCATTAAGATTGTTCTTTTTTTATATCAACAAGTGCAAACATTGACTGAACTTTAACACCTTTATGTTGATTAGTAAGTTCTTACTGCATTTTTCTGCACATCCCTTTCAGTTTTCTTTAGCATAAATGGAATTCTAACACAGCTCACTTTAATAACAAAACAAACGCTAGATTTTTAATAGATGGAAACAACTGATCCCCGCTAGCTGTTATCTGCATCCAACAAAGGAAAAGAAGATCATAGGTATCTATGAGACCTGTCAAAATTTAAACCAACTGACTCAAATGCCTTCAACATTTGGCAATTACCACAAACAACTGACAGTTGATGTTGACCTGCTGTCCACAGTAGTTGTTACTGAGGCCACCCATAAGAACAATCTCAGTAAACATTTTGATTTAGATCTAGCGGCTAGATTAGTAGTTTATTTTCTATTAATTAAATGGGGGAGGAGGGAAAAGGAGGAGTAACTATTAAAAAATGAAAAACAAAAACCTGCAGGAAGAAAAGATGACTCTAGGGGCAGCTGCTGTTGGAAGCCCGCATACCTAGTCACTCCTGCCACAGTATAGAGTCCAGGAGACTGAATGTGAAGTCTGGAACCACAGGTAATCTTACTCAGATTATAGCAGTGGCCATCATTCTTGGCCATACACACCTTATAGAGTTTTTCTATAAAGCTTTATAAGTGAGGTGCAAATCACTACGAAAAGAAACTTACTGGCTCTCCTGGAAGCCCCGGTGGCCCCATTGGCCCCTGAAACCCCGGGGTTCCAGGTGGACCCTGCAAAAAAATAAAAAGACATCATTAAAAAGTAATATTTATTTGGCAATTCAATCATACTGATATAATTTCAATTGAAAGTCACTGCTATTCAAACATCATTTAGACTTACCGGTAGTCCAGGTTGGCCGGGAAAGCCTTTATCACCTTTTAGCAGAGTAGGAGGTAAAAGACCAATCACTTCACCTGGATCTCCCTACGAGAGAAGAAAACAAATAGTACTTAAACATCCATTCAAATATATTCAAAAATGCTGATATTAAGATGAGAGAAAAGTCTGAACTATGCTAAATTTGGAATCATTTGGAAAAATCACTTTAAAAAAACGCCTTCCTTCTTTCAGTTCAGCTGAAGACCTTAATTGCCAAACTTTCTTTAAAGTTGTCAGAAGAAATTCCAGTACCAAATCTTAATTCTCACCCTTGCTTTCTATATTGCAATGAGTAATCAATCAGAAAGATTTTCCCACCAAATCTAACACAACTACAGTTGTGTTAGTACACAACTGGAGCATCTGGCCTGGCTGCTGACAGAAGCAGGTAACCTCCCAATTTCTTTTCCTGGCTGAGATCTTCAGCCTTATATCTAATTCTGAAATCAAAGCAGCGTTCATGGCTTGAGCACTTTTCAATGCATATGTTCAATTGTTACGAACTGGAGGCTGTCCCACTGTCTTTATTTAGAGGGACTGCAGAACAGAATACAAGTGAAGCATGCCAGCACAATTTTTCAGCCCTTAAGTAAGGACTGATAGACTTAGAGGATGCAGAGTTCATCTTAATTCTTACTGATGGAAGCAGGATACAAACACATTCAGAGCACAATGTACCTTCATTCCAGGAGGTCCTGGAGGTCCCTGTGAAAAAATAAATAATTGATATTATTTTTCACCAGTACTGTAAGAACTACATTTTATACTTTTTAATTTTACACAGTTATATTTACATTTCAAGAATCAGAGTTGAAACAAGTGCATTAAGCATGAAAGAATCTACTTACTATGCTTCCAGTCAGTCCTGGTAAACCTGGGGGACCTACGGGACCTCTTTCACCCTAAGAGGAACAGAGAAGTTGGTTTTGTTTAGCGAACATACACTTGAGGGGTTTCTGTTTTAGCACAGAGATGTTATAAACATATGTAAATGTCACCTTTGTGCCATTACATCCTGGAATACCAGGTGGACCTGGAGGGCCATCTTGTCCAGGAATGCCCTACATGAAAAGGAAGTGAAGAAATTAGCAATAATACAGACGAGATGTCATAATTAAAATTACAATTTCTTTGTAAAAACAGATGTACATCTCACATACAGGAAGGCCTGGGTTTCCTGGATATCCTGATGATCCTGGTGGGCCCTGTAATTGACAAAAACATCTTGAACTTGGGAAATTTAAATGACAAAACAGCATTGACAAACTGCATTTCCAGTGGGGACAGCCAAAAAATGAGTAACAGTTTCTTTTAAACTTTCTTTGCAAAATATCTCTAATCTTTAAAACTCTCAATCATGACATTTTAATAATTGAAAGTAATTTTTTAGTTTTCTTTAACTGCACAGGCAAAAAAAGGAATGTAGATTTTGTCTTTTCACAACCATCATTTCTAACATGAAATTTACTGAGGGCACCTCTTCCTAGCAGAAGAGGATGTTAATACACTACAAAGATGATTTTCCATCTGTCATAATCCACGTCAGTGTGGTAATTTCACCTTCTGCATTAAGAAACTACTGGGTCGAAATATGTTATTTTTTTCCTCAACAGCTCGCCAGCGTAATGCAGCAGGTGTTTGACTTGGCACATCATTTTCAAGCTATCAGCTTATTTATTCATGGAGCACTTTCTAATACAAGTATTGTGAAGCAGAAAAGATGCATGTGAATCCTTTAGTGTAGATAGTATATCTGCATCTCCCTAAACTTTATCATTGCTAATATACAGCCTACTTGCACTGCAAAAGGTGCAGGAGACACTAACTTACATTAACAGTCAGAATACGTCCGGTTATCACGGACGACATGAACTGAAATGGGGATTTCCTGAGCTAACAGAATACTCCCTCTGCAGTAGCTTGCAGCAGCAACTGACTCAGTAAATTCTACGTGCTGCAACAACTGCAGGTGAATAGGGAACAAAATTGAGATAGCATTTTGCAAACCTGTGGGCAAGAGGGTATAGGTAAAAATATGTATGTATCGTTACTAGTCAAGTCATTCAAATCCTCTTTTGCTGTTTCGTTACAAAATGTGAAAATGCTCAAACTGAGCTTGGCTCCTCAGCAAACACAAAAGGACACATCCTTGGCTAATATAATCTGCTAAAATAAATGCTACACAAGTATCATGTTAAACAGAAATGACAATAGGAAGGTTACAGCCATATTCAGAGACTCTTCCAGCATTAAAAACATCAGATCTTTGTCCCCGGCTTTAATGATTCAGCCCTGCACTGTGTACACACTTTTAATGTGTATGTGCTCATGAGTGCATCAGCTTCTCTGCTGGAGTGCTTAAAGCAGGTTAGAGAGCAAACATAAAGGAGAATTTTGCATGAGGTAATAAAGGTGGTTCATATTCAAGTTGGAAAAAAACTTCTTGGCCTGGCAAAGGGATATCAAAGGAATACTAAAACCAGTGCTGTTGCTGCAGTGGTAAGGATCAGGTGAAAATGCAAATGGGCAAAGGCACTGCACAATGCAGAACTACAAAGGCAAGAGCAAGTATTTTGAAACCATTGTGCAGCACAAGAGGGAGCCATTCATTAACTGGAAAAAGAGACTAACCGCATCTTGTACTTGAAGGCAGCCACAAAGACTTAAGGATATGTTAACCTTCAGATTGCAAAAAGGTAAGTAAGTTAGAACTCACTCTTGTTCCTTTTGTTCCTGGCAGTCCTGGTTCTCCAGTATCACCCTGTAACAGAAAAGACATAGCTTTGTCTTTCCTAGTGACAATGGTTTAGGGAAATCTCAGTGCTTTAAAAATTAAAGCTTCAGTTCTTACCTTAAGCCCTGGTGGCCCAGGGGGACCTTCAGGTCCTTGCATTCCAGGAAACCCAATCACACCCTGTAATCCCGGCAAGCCTCTTTCACCCTGGGAAAAAGAAAACCCATTAGCAACAAAACACCTGAAATTGCCTCTTCCAGCTACCCACATATCCCATTTCCGTGCTGGAAAAAGCTGCAAATTCTCAGAAACTGCAAGTATCACTGTTGGGTTCACTGCTACAAGAACGGTCAACATCACTCCTCTTTTTGTACACCATTCACAATAGCAGATGTTGGAGACCAGGCTTGTCACTTAGTCTTTAGTTTTAGGGTGTTTCAGAGCCAGGGTGGTTCAGGATATGGTATCGTCTCAAAAATCTCAATACATAGACTGTATTTGTCAATGCTTAGGTTCTTCTTTGCTGCTGTCTGGGACATATGTGTGTCTCGCAAAACATTATACTTCTGCTGTGCTCTCTCCCTACAACCCCAGACCTGTTAAATCAGATAAACCAGAAGCAAAGCATGAAATCCATCCACACTACAGGTCCATACTGCAGCTATTACACATTCACCGTATTTGGATTCCCAGTGAAACCAAAAGGAACTCTGTCTGCATGAAGGCTGCAAAATTTGCAATTAAGAGGGAAAAAAATGTAACCATATGTCAAAGCTTGATAACAAAAGCAATTTGAAAGCCAAACCTGCCAGGCAGGAAATAACTAGAGTTGTCCTTTTAAGGTATGGTGTGAAATAAGGAGGATCACCTCCTGACGTTCAAAAATGTGGTAATATTTGAAAAATAAAACATTAGTGACTAACTGCAAAAAGAAGAAGGTGTACAAGTTCAGACTACAACTAAAAACCATGTCACCTATTCTAGAAATTCAAAAAATGGACCAATTGCTATGCGATACAGACAAGGAAATAAAATCAACAGGGTTCCAAACACACACAAGGAAGCTACACAGATTTCAGTATTTCCAGCAAAACAGTGAGAGACGGGATTGCCATTAGTAATTAACACACAAATGATTTAGTATCGGGATTTGAGGAAGGTGAACAGTTTAGTGAGGAGCAAGAAATGTTTCTACTGCTTGCTCAGGACAAAGATTACTGCCTATATTGTAGTCATTTGTAGGAGTCAGCGAGGACAGGGCACAGAGGAAAAGAAAAATACCTGAGTCTCGAAAAGCTCACCCACTATCCAAGTTGGTCCAACAGGTAACGAGCAAAGAAAAGGTTATGATATGCTGGCAGAGAAAACTGAGTGATGACTCTCAGATGTGGTGCTAGTTACGCTTTCTGAAGATGATAGGAGTTGGAAGATTTGTGGGGTCTTTGTGGGATCACTGGCTTGATTTTTTTTTAGGTCTTTGGGTGCGGTTTTGTTAAGAAGGCACTAACAGGATGAAGAGACAGAGGAGATGAGAGGTGACTCTGATAGGACTGGGTAAGAGAAAAGAGCTGGAGGGAAGAAAATCATGACTGAGATGATAAGAGCATGAGAATGTGGAGAGGAAACTATTAAAGCAAAACAATCAGTACAGAGAAGCAAGTGATTTTGCTGGAAATAAAGGAAATCTAATGGTACCAGCTCTGTTCAGTTTTCCTACTGAGGTTGCTCCTGAGTTTGTTCCTGCCAGCCTGATTTTCTGTGAATTTGGGGGGAAAGTGGTCTTGTCATTTCCTTTATATCTCAAGTCTCAAAGAAAAGGACCCAGAGGTGCATCCCCCACCCACACAGTTCTAGCTGTGCAGCATTATCAGCACAGGTTGGGTGTTACAGGTAACAACCGGTCCCGGCAATGCTTACGCAGGGTGCAGCTTCTCTTGCGCCCTCATGAGAAGGGGAAAGAGAACGAACAGAAGAAGGGGGAAAAGAACAGAAGAAGCAGAAGCAAGTTTGAAACTGCCTCAGTACATCCCTCCCAGCCCCTTCTTTACTCTTCCTCCACATACCTCACCGCTTAGAAAACAGGATCCATGACAAAGTAAAAAAAAGTTCTGACATAAACCTCATGGTGAGAAGTGTTTTTTTTTTTTAGTGAAATAACGTAATATTTTTATTTGGTAATGCTGCCACGCGGGTTGCCATTGCAATAGATGTCTGGCGGTGCTAGATGTCCATTCAGCATTTTGTGGTGTGTTTCCTGAACTGACTGTAAGGCAGTCCCTGGCTATGGAAATTAGGGTGCAAGACTTTTCTAAAATCAAAATAACACTCAAGGTGAAGAAAACATCTTCCTTCCCACCTCATTTATTAAAACTTCCTGCCAGAAAAAAATTCTTACATTTCCTCTCCTCCCCCTCCTCCCACAAAAAAAAAAAAAAAATTCTTCAATAAGAAACAACCCTTTCAGACAAACAGTTTTTCCTTGTACCAAAATGGCATGACCTCCTTTATTAACTCCTCATCATTCATCGCCATGTTTGATAATAAAATGTATTAGCAACCAAAATCGCAGGCAGTGTGATATATCACAAAACTCAGCAGAACAAAATAAAACAGCAGGACAGATCAAGAAATGTATTTCCAGGTCAGCACCTTTTACGGTACAAAATCCTATTTCTAAAATAACTAAAACTGGTTTGAAAAATACTTTAAGGAAGAACATATCAGGATTCAGGCTTCTGAATAAATATGGAAGTAATTATTCTAAAATCTGGAGTATATCTGAAATGTTAAATAAATTACAGAGTTCTTAAACCCATACTTTGGCTAGCTAATTGGCATTGTAGTAGCAAGTATTTCTATAAAAATAGATGTTATGTCATTTAAGTTTATACTGAATCTTGGGCACTCGCTCTCGTGACCTGCTGGGAGACGGGTTAAAGAGGCAGAAGACACTCAAGCAGGGCTGAGAAACCTCAGTAGAGTTTTCCATTGCCCAAAGAAAGCACAATATGGGCAAGTGAGAAGAAAACAAGATTATTTTGACACCTGCAGAGAAATATGAGTCCCAGGTAATACAGCTAATATGTTTTGCCCTCAGGAGTTTAGCCCATCTAAGGATTTCAACACACTTTGAAATCACTGCACCTTGCAACAGGGGAAAATACTCTTCCATTGATTTTTATGTAAAGTTATAACTGAATTTCACAGATTTGATTTTCATTTACTCTAAGGCTCCCTTAAGACTGTTCTGGCATTGTAAAAGGGTGTTAAAGTGCCTGTAAATCACTAAGGTTATGACCTCTTCATCTTGCTGAAGAGGGTAACTCAAGGGTTGACATAAATATAAACTACGCCCAAGGTAACTACAGTTAAGTCTCCCAAGGCTGTCTCCAGCCTCCCAGGCTGCCCTGTCTGAGGGGTGCAACATAGCTGTAGGAGAAGATCACAGACTGTATCGAGTCACTTAGGGCTAAAATGTGTCTAAGTTTCCCCAGATGCATTCTGTTTTACTGATTTGAATTTTTATGCCAACAGAAAGAAAAATGAAATGGCTATTTGTCCAAGACTTCTGGACATCCGGTCAAGCTACTGGATGTACAGAGGCCTGCAAAGCGTAACTCCTGAGCGTGTGCAGGGCTGTCACGTACTGCAGACTCTCTGTTTCGCACACAGGAACTAAGCTCCTATTTTTGCCTGTGATTTGCCACAGGGAAGCTGCCTGATTCCTGCCTGCATAAAACCTGCAATTTTGGCCCTTTATTCTCACAGATGGGCAGCAGCATCAGTGCTTACACTTCTCTTTCTCTACTCTGCCCTCCTAATTAATTTTGCTGCAAACTAAGTATTGGGTAAGTAGCCCAAATTTGTGCAGTCTCAGGCTACGCCATCAAGGGGGCCTTACTCCTCCACGTCATCCATGGAAACTCAGGACAACCTATTCACCAAAGACCAGTAACAGAGCTAGGGATAACTCCTGCACAGCTGTCTCTTACTTTAGTCTGTACATCACACTGTCTCTTTGTATAAAGGCTTTAGGAAACCAGCATGCTAAAGACTCATAAGGAAAGAAGCAGTGCTAAGGAACTACATTACAGTAAAGGTCTCCAAACATCTACACTGAACAATGGAGTACAGAAATTGCACCATGTCATGTTATGTCATACTAAAGAAGAGCTCCAGGGGTCCTAATTTGACAGGATAAATCAGTCTGCATAGATAGCTGGCATAGCACCAGTTGTACTGCTGCTTTTCTTACCCAAGGTGGCTTATTTAGAACTTCAAGCTCAGAAGTTTCACATTGTCCAGTATAGACGTAAGCATGTCCTGACGATGCCTTGCATTGCAAGGAAATACTTGACTAGCATCCCTTCCTGCTTGTCTGTCCAGTTCCTTGGTTCACCCAATGTTCCAGCCAAGCAGCCCAACAGCTAGCGTTTGCAATGCATTTAAGCTGGAACTCATTAAGCATCCACACTACATGGATGCTTAATGCAAGCACCAGATCACTGCTGCGTTCCTGCTTATTTTTCGCTCAGCACTAAGATTTCGAGTTGCGATGCGTAAAAAGCACAAGACTCTGACTGTAAGGGCTATGTATTGTTCCAGTCCCAATATGCACAGCTGCAAAGTCTTGGCAGATAACAACGAAAGAACTTCTGCTTCTTACAAATCAATTCACGAGAGTCAGAATTAAAACAGATGTCACCAAGTCATCTGTATCTCCACTGATTCAATGCTCACTGTCAGAAAGCACAATAGAAAATTCATTATTCAGCTCACAAATATAAATATTCTGCCACTCTGCTGCTGCTGAAAATGCAAAGATGTTACAGAAAAAGCCAGCACGTGCTCATTCACTGTTACACTCATCTGATTAGCAAGATTGCCTTTTGTAGTCCAGCCTTTGTGAAACGCATCCAAATGCCTTTGCGTTAAAATCAAAAGCAAATCAATGGACTTCTAAAGAAAGGTAAACCCTGTTAAGAAAGGTAAACCTGGTAAGAGCATAGCTACATGGTCTCATCTTCTTACTGGCACCAACACTCCCAAATTAGCCATGAAATAGCATTTCACACATGGAACAACTGCAGCTATGCAAGACTGTCACACGAAGCGAGTACTGTCAAAAGACTTAACTGTAATAGATTAAGTGTCGAGGAGGAGGAAATCATCAGCATTATAACATCATAAATTATTTCCCCTATTAT